CTTGTTTTGGGGGTGCTGAGGGGATGTGGGCCTTGTTTTGGGGTTGCTGAGGGGATCTGGGGCATTGTGTTGGGGGTGCAGGGCTTGTGGGGGGGGGGCTGAGGGGATCGGGGCCTTGTTTTCTAGGTGCGGGGCTTGTGGGGGGGGGGGGGGGGGGAGCTGGGCCCGTCCGGCCCTGGGCAGGACGGGCCTTTGCGCCCGGCTCGCCTCGCTTAGGAGATGGGGTTACGGGCGGTGCTGTCCTCGCTCGTCAGCTCTGGGAGTTTTCAGTCGCGTTTAATGGAAGAGTAACGGTCCAAAGATACTCGTTTCTTATGAGCTGAATGAAGGTGAGCGCTGTGAAAGGGGCAAGAAGGAGACGAATGTGCTTTTTGAGAGAGTCTAGCCCCTTTTAGGCATCAGGAACACTGCCTGAGGATGTGGACCTGCAGGAAAGCAGCCCTGATGTTCAGGGAACAACCTCGGTGGCTTCGGTTTGTTTTTTTTGTGAAAGCAAGGGAGGATATGGGGAGACAGCAATGAATGAAGTCTGTTATCTTCCTGTTTATGTCTCTGTAATACTACCCAGGAGCCAGGAACTAGTGGGAATTTAGCACTGGAAAGGGATGGATTTGCTGCTGATCCTTAGTTACTGCCTACTTGGATGAACAACTGTCTCCTGGTCCCTCACGTTGCTGCTCTAATCCATCTTTCTCTTCCCTCACTGTCTGTGCTGATGCTGACTTTTTGCTGCTCGTTCCTGAACTGCTAACACCTTTTCCCAGCTTTTTTTTTTGCCCTTTTTGGAGTCCAGTTCAGGATTCTTCTAGTTGGAAAAGTAGTCATCGGACTTCTGAGGCTTTTCATCAATCGCTACCTCTCTGCCCTCTTGCTGTAACAGGTTGAAACCTATCTTTGGATTGGATAAATTAGTATGAAGAGCTTGTGAAGATGTGTAGATACAGACAGATCTAGTTATAGGGAAAAAAAAAAAAGTTGTTCTGTCCTCCTGCTGATGCAGCTTCTGAACTTAGGTCAGCTCTGGACTAAGTCATTTCCATAGAACATGAACTTTCTCTAAAGTCGAGTTTGTTCTGCTGACACCCAAGTTGAACTGATTTTGTGGGCTATGGTCACCAGAGTTTGAAGTTTTGTCCTCTGTGCTGGAAGCTTGTGGTGACCTTGGTTTGTTATTGTTGATGGTGTCTGCTCTGCTGTGCTGCTGTTGGGAGAGACAGTGCCTGGAAGGGCATAGTCTCATCTCTTTCTCGAGCCTTTTTCCATGTAGCTGCAGCTCTGTGGCTGTGTTTGTTTGCCCTGTGAAAGCAGAATGCATCACATGAAATACTTGTGAAGGAACCTGTGTGAGGGGGAATAACTTCCTTGCTATGGGTTTGAACTCTTGCCTCTGGGTTTGTTACATGGACTCCTCGCTCACTGAGACCTATCCCTGGTTCGGGGGGTCCTGGCAGCGAAGGCAGGCTTGTTGTGGGGTGAGGTGTAAAATGCCTGTTTTAAAGCAGACTGGTTCTCTTGCTAGTTGGTGTCTCCCTTCCGCCACAAGACTTCATCTTTGGAGCGGATGGAGGAGGAAGATGATGATGAAGATGATGAATTGGACATCTTTGGAGGTTACGACAGCTTCCGGGGCTACAACAGCAGCATGGGCAGCGACAGCAGCTCATGCCTGGATGAGTCTAGTGATGATGAGGTGGTGGATCGGGAAGCTGGAGAGCTTCCGACCTCCCCTGTGCACCAGCACCAGCCGTCCACAGGCCGACTGACAGAGGACAGTGGCTCTGAGCCAGGTACTGTGCTGCCTTCCCATTTCTAACGCATACGTGTGATAGAACAAGGGCTGGAATTTTTGCTGAGGGAAGCCAAAGAGCATATGACTGTATCTTGAGTATGGTTTGTGAGCAGAACTGGGTTGAAACTGCACTTTCTGGGTTACCTGGGGGAACTGCTAGGTGCAAAGAGGGTTACCTGGGCTTAGCTTTGTCTTTGTAGTTCACCAACCCAGACACCTGCTCAAGTTTTTTTGTGCTTTTCCTCTTCTGCCAGCTGTGTGTGAGATGTGTGGGATTGTGGGCACCAGGGAGGCTTTCTTCTCCAAGACCAAACGCTTCTGCAGCGTCTCCTGCTCCAGAAGCTACTCCTCAAACTCCAAGAAGGCCAGCATCCTGGCCAGGCTGCAGGTGAGTCAAAACCTTTCTTTTTTTCCTGGGGAATGGAACAGGATGTGCCTGTGTACAGGAGAGATGCTTGCTGTCTAGCAAGATAGCTGACAGCCATTACCAGTGGCTTGTTATTCTGGCCTGTGGTCCCCAGAGAATATGTGCCAGTTGAAGAGTGGCCCTCCCTAGAAGGAAGGGCACAGTTATGTTTTACCTGCTGTTTCTTCTTTTTCTTTGAGCGTTAGTAAAAATTGTCATGACCTTAAAATCATCCCAAGATAGAGGTTCATCCCCTCTGGCCAGCTGCAGGGCCAACTTCCTTTCCGCTCCTCTGCCCCTCGGTTCTAATTTTCCTTCTTTTGTAGGGGAAGCCACCAACAAAGAAAGCTAAAGTGCTGCACAAGGCGGCCTGGTCTGCCAAGATTGGGGCCTTCCTCCATTCACAGGGCACAGGACAGCTGGCAGATGGGACGCTGACAGGCCAGGATGGTGAGTGTAGGCAATGCAGGAGGAGGTGCAGCTGTGAGAGCCACAAAAATTGGGGCTCCTTGAGGAGCTGTAAATTCTGCAGTCCTCTCCCTCTCCTCTGTGTAGAGCCTAATACCGAAACCATGTGTGTGGATCACTCTGATGCAGCATGCAGGGCATGTCCCCATTCCGTCTCCCTGCCTGTGCTAACAGAGCACTAGTGGGTTGCTGCCCATTCACTGTTGCAGTGCCATCCTTGCTCGTTGCATGTTTCCTTGACCAGAGTTTGTCCTGGTGGGTTAACTCTGTAGCCACAGTCCCGTGAGGTGCTGGCTCCTGCTGGCAAAGCTGACCTAAAGGTGTCCTACTGCACGCACCATTCACTGCCCCGTTGCCTGTGGGGGAGTTATTTTTACCCCGAGTCATTCACTAGTCAGCTTTATAGACAGTGTATCGGTACAGCTCAAAGAGTAGCAAACTGCCGCATTGGCAAAAACGAGTCCCTGGGGTGGCAGCAGAGACTGACTGCTCCCTGAGCTGATTTTGCAGCTGGAGCAGAGCTGTGGCCTTGGGTCAGGAATATCTGTGGGAATAATATCTGAATGCTTCACTGCGATTTCCCAGCACCCTCTGGGGAAGCAAGCGCTGCTGATGTGGCCTTGCAGTGGAGACGCTGAGAGCAAAGTAGCTTAGAGCAGGCAGGATGTGGTCCCCACTCGCCCCAGAGTGTTTCAGCCCTGGGCTGGATTCTGACCCCTTGTCTTGCCCTCCCGGAAGAGCAAGAGATGGCAGGGATTAATAATTACTTTGACCTCTGCAGGGGCTGGTCCCCATGGGTTTGTGGGATCTAGTTCCCCTCCAGAGAAAATACTCTGGAATCCGGAGCCCCTTTGTGCTGGGGCAGAGTGCTCTGCTCTCAGGGCAGCCCCCAATGTGGTTGCAAGCTGCAGCCCAGGGGTAACTGTGTGCTCAGTGCCTCTCCTACAACCCTCTCACCTGAAGTTCTTCTCTCTTGTCTGCTCACAGCACTTGTCCTGGGCTTTGACTGGGGAAAGTACCTGCAGGAGCATGGCTTCAAGGCAGCTCCCGTCAGCTGCTTCAAACATGTGAGTCCTTCTTCCTCATTGTGCCTTGCAGTGTGCATGGAACATGTATGCACGGGGCTCTCCTGTCCTCTTCCTCCTGTGACAAGTGGTGGGGAGAGACTGGGGAAGCTAGTTACTAGGCCCCAGCTGATGCAAGGAAGGAAGATGGTGGCTCCTCCCAGCTGAGGGTTGGGGGTCCCACGGAGGAGTCATGAGTTTTGGAGAAGATGCAGACAGGGACTTGATAGAAGCACTGTGAGTGATGATGGGCCGTTGTTGACTGGGGACAAAACCAGTTCTGTTGCCTGGGAGGTGTCAGGTAGCAGAAAGTTTGCAGCTGCTTTTGCATGTTGTGTGGGTGGGGGGAGCTCAGAGTAATGCGCAGGGAAGAATTCAGCTCATCTGGGCCTGGCAGCAGCTGCCCCTCCAACATGTCTGTTTTCCCTCGTATTGATTTGCAGTCTTTGTGGGCCAGGTAGCCAGGCAATTCAATGGAAGAACAGCAGTTCTTAGGTATTATAGCAGCCGTGTCCTCTCTGCATATTAAAACTCACTTCTTCCACTCCTTTTGAGTTGCAGTTTGTGGTGGTATTGACAAAATTGTGTGCGTCTTGAGGACGTGTCAGGAGAACATGGCAGTTTTCCTAATGGTTAAGGATTTGGATACTGTAGAGAAATGGCAACAGCTACCTTGGGATTACAGGACAGTTGGCAGGGAAGCAGTTAAGTGTTGCTATACACTTATACAATATTCTACCTTTTGGGATCCTACACTAACACTCCACTGAGATGACTGGGATAGTTCCATTGTATTTCAGGCTGTCTGTGGATTTGGGAAGGTTAAGGCATACAAACGTGGTGAGAACCTAGCTGCCTAACACATGGCTTTGAAAGCTAGAACAAGGGTCTGAGTGACTAAATGCCCTTTCCCTTCATGGCTGCCTCAATTCTTCAGGTGCCGCTCTTTGATCAGTGGGACGATGTGGTGAAGGGTATGAAGGTAGAAGTGCTGAACAGTGATGCCGTGCTGCCCAGCCGAGTATACTGGATTGCCTCCGTCATCCAGACTGCAGGTATGCCTCTAATATAGCTCCCAACGGCCAGGGACAGCTAACCTCAAAGGGAAGCTTTAGAGAGCTGAGTATGGCTGGTCAGGCACAATATTGGCTCTTTGGAGCTGTGCAACTGCTGTGAGAGGTCTTGGAAATGTCATGGTTTGGGGGTGTGAGGAAACCAGCATCTGGATGTTCTTCTAGTTGATGGGCTCTTTGTGGGGATGGCTTTGCCTCCAGGAGAAGGATTGGAGAAGCCCTGATAACCTATGCAGAGCTCTGAAAGCCATGTTGCGGGGAATAAGCCTGTGGTACCCAATGGGGAGAGGAGAAATGCTTGGTGTTTAATGCCTTTCTCTGGTTGTCTGCTCTGTTTTGGCAGGGTACAGGGCCCTTCTGCGATATGAGGGTTTTGAGAACGATGCCGGCCACGATTTCTGGTGCAATTTGGGCACAGTGGATATTCACCCCATTGGCTGGTGTGCCATCAACAGCAAAATCCTGGTGCCACCACAGAGTGAGTGTGGGATGAGAGAGGTCAGCGTGTATCTCGGTGTGGAGACGCCTTGGTTTGTCTCTAGCACAGTAGGGCAAACATTCCCACCATACGTGGGGCTGCAGCTCCATGTGTGCTCTGAGTTATAAGGGGCAGTTAGTCTTCTGGGAAGCAGGGGGACTTCTCCTCTGCATCTGCCTGTGGCTGTCCCAAAGGGTGCTGGATGCAGAGCTCTTGTCAGGCCAGTGGACAGAGGCTAATGCAGGTTCCTCCTGACCCACGCAGTGGCCAGGCTTAGTTTTTGGGGGAACTCCACGGCCCTACATCCTGGGCAGTTGTCTCTGGGAGTACACCGGCCACAGTTCCTGCTCAGCGAGCAGGAGAGGGATGCTAATTTAGCAGGATCCTAGCAATGGTGAAATTTGTTTGGTGTAACTCGTGTTTTGCTGTAATACCACTTCCACGTCTCGATCAGTGGAGTTGGACATCTGCTTGTCACAGTCGGTCTGTAATGATGATCCGTTACAGCCTGTTGCGGGGGCAAGCTCACAGAATCTGTCTGCCTGAGAGCAGGTACAAGGACTGAATGTGAAGAAGGCCTTTTAATGCAGATGGACCCTCCTCAAAGAGGAGGAAATGTCTAGTGCAGTGCTGTAACTCTGTCATAAAGAGGTGCTTTTTATCCTGTGCCTGTATAGGTATCCATGCCAAGTACACTGACTGGAGGGGTTACCTCATGAAAAAGCTGGTGGGAGCCAGGACTATCCCTGTGGATTTCCACATCAAGGTAAATGTAGAAGGCTATTTTGTGCGGAAACAAAGCCAGGAGACGTGTGGGGAACATCTCTCCTGGTTCTGATCCGCAACTCCTGCACAGGGGAGCGGTTGCATGGGAGGATTGGGGCAGTGAGTGCTTGGCTGTGCTCAGAATACACCTATCACGATGGTGTGGGTAGCGGCACAGTCCCCTGACCCTTTTAGCACACCAGTTTCTCCTTTGGGTCATAAAAGGCTTAAAAGCTGTTGTCACATAGTTGCTGCAAAATACTCGGGATATATTTTGTTTTGTTGAAGGGAGAGGCCAATGGAGCTCCACCTGGCAGTATTTTGCCCTGTCTCAGGGCTATGCAAGTCAAAAAACCTTTTCTTCAGCCCTGGTAACAGAGCAGCGTGCTAGGGAATGAGGGGCACAGGCTCTCTCGAGGTGCACAGAAGCAGCTGTGCAAGTGGCCCTGAAACTTTTGCAGCTCTTGTGGTTGTTTCATGTAGCCTGCACTGAGGTTAGACGTTCCCCAGGCAGAAGTGGGAGGAGAGATTCTCCCCTGGCAGGCAGCTTTGGGGAACTGCAGATAAGGAAGATGGTCCCAGAGGCAGCAGGCAAGAAGACAGGTGATGGGATTTATCTCTGTGCGAGGTAACTGGTAACACTGAACTTGGTGTAGTTTGTGCTTCCTTTGTTGCTTCTCAGGAAGTTGAAAGGGTTTTTAGGAGCTGCTTGTTCCTAAGCCACATTGCATACCTGACAGCTCCCATCACGGCAGGAAAGTGCTAGAGGGAGACTGACATTGTCAATATCTTTCTTATCTTTCTCCTCCCAACTTCCCCACTCCCACCTGATGAAAAGCAGGAGGTGGGAGAGGGGAACCTTCCCTTCAGGACTTTTCTGGATTCAAGTGTGGGCCTGTTCGTGTGTCTGTTCAGTCCATTTTGACTCAGCTCCTCTATAGGATTCTGGGATCTCCAGTGCCAAAATCTTAGGTGTTCTATAAATGCCTTTGAGTACTTATGAATCAGTAGGACTATGGTGTCTCAGTAGACCAGAGGTCTCCAAAAATCTGTCAGAAGGCAGCCAGTGATTTTTTTTTTTTTTTTAATGTGCTTCAGACTTTAGGCTCAGTCTGTAGAGCAGCTTTGGCATTGGAGGTGAGGTTGCAGATAAGATTATCTTGTTAAACACTTGATCACAGTGCAAAGGTGAAAGCGAGAGCCTGACCTCTTTTAAAGACAACTGAAAATCCTGTTGCCCTTTGGGAAGCTAGACCTCTCTGACCACTTCCAGCGTTAAACGGCTGCTTTCATGACTGAAAAAGGCACCTAACTCCCCACTCACTTCCTGCTAAACAGGAAGCCTTCCTGCCTATGACTTCTTCAGATGAGCTATTCACTGCTTTTCACCTTCCGGAATGCTTACACAGGGCATTGGCTGAGCGTGGCTGCTGTGCCAGAACGGGGAGAACTGTTATGAAGCCTTAGGACAGGGGAGACTTGGGTGCAAGTACCCAGCCGTGCTGTTGTGTGTGGGGCTAGCTGTTCCCCATCCCCTTGATGAGCCTGCTTCCATGCATCCCTTCCCAGAGGTGTCTTCCAGTCAGCTTTGGGCAGTACAGGGAGTCAGCCAGGACGTCTATGGGGAAAGCTGCTCTCTGAGGTGTTTGGGGGAGGAAGACACCAGAGGTGATTGATCTCGCCTCCTCTGTTGGTTGTTGCCAGATGGCGGAGAGCATGAAGTACTCATTCCGGCAAGGCATGCGAGTGGAGGTGGTGGACAAGAACCATGTGTCCCGGACCCGCATGGCAGTAGTGGACACAGTGATTGGGGGCCGACTGAGGCTCCTCTACGAGGACGGCGACAGCGATGATGACTTCTGGTGCCACATGTGGAGCCCTCTCATCCATCCTGTGGGCTGGTCACGGAGGGTGGGCCACAGCATGAAGAAGACGGGTAGGGATCAGGCCACCGCAGGCACCTCCTGATTTGCCGTGAGTTGCCTGGTCCCTGCTGTTGGCACCAGTCTTGACATGCTGGGAGCCAGGCAGTTACCTTGCGACTGGGTGGATAAGGACTGCACTGTCACTCGTCTGCCACTTTTTCCCCTGGACAGACAAAAGCTGAGCAGTTTGCTGTCGCAGGTCCAGACACAAAGATTGTAGGGTTTCTCGCCTGAAGCAGGTAGTCTATCCCTGCAGTGTGAGAGTGCAGAGTCTGCAGCATCACAGAGGTTTATGATCTTTTTAAGAAAATTCATGCTGGTTTCGGTAAGACTAGATACCATCAGGTTGTGTTTTCCCGAGACTTTTTTTTTCCTGGGCTTAACAGAAGAATTCTTGCTTAGCTTAGTCTGCCAGAAAAAGCAAGATTTGAGCTCTGGGGCTGCTCACCTTGTTGATCCTTTCTGTTTTGTCCCCCCCGCTGCTTCCTTGCTCCCTCTACCTGGTGATTACAGCTGCATGTAGAGGTATTATCACTGGTGCTCAAGAAGATGAAATTCATCTTCTGCTTTTGAGCAAGCTCTGCCTCCCAGCCCATGTTATGGGAAGGTGTAGATGGACTAACCTCTCTTTTTTCCCCCCCACCCTTGCTGTGGTCTCTGATCTAGCTCTTGTATAACTGCTGAGCTCTCACCAGATAATTAATAGTCAGAATGTTTTCTTACTGTAGTTACTTCAGGTTTCTCACCTCTTTCTTTTGTTTCTTACAGAAGAAAAGCGCACTGATATGGCGAACCATCCCACTTTCCGGAAGATTTACTGTGATGCTGTCCCCTATCTCTTCAAGAAGGTAGGACAACCCTTCCTTTCTGTGGTGGCCACAGCAAGGGAAGCAATGATACCACTTCCTGCTTGGGTATATGCTGCTCTGTGGGTTGTTGAGGGTGACTCCCTTGTTCCCCTTCCACCTATGAGGCAGTGAGGTAATTGGGGTATGAAGGCTGAAATTTGGCAGGGTAAGTGAAAATAGAAAGATGGAAGAACCAAAAGACAATAGCAGATTGAGGGACTCGATTGAAGAGTGAGCAGTTGCTTGGAGCTCTGAGCAGGTGAGTTGCATGGGAGAGACAAGTTCAGACAAGGGGTTGGATTGTATTGGTAAGAATTAAGATTGGGAGGTTTACTTTGCTTTGGAGCAGAGGCTGGGTGCTGAGCCTGGCTCCGTGACTGGCCAAGGCCTTGCAGGGGCTGGCTGGCACAGAGACAGCATTGGGCTGGTTCCCTCTTTGCATTTCTTGTATTTTTGTTCTTTCTCTCCCTTTCCAGCTTGGGCTGAGCCAACTAAAGAGGGTCTAATCCTGTTTACGCTTAGGGTGATTGGTATCAGGATGGGACTTTCCTATAGCACATGATATGCCTATGTTCTCCCTTAGGTACGAGCTGTCTATGCTGAAGGCGGATGGTTTGAGGAAGGCATGAAGCTGGAGGCCATTGACCCTCTCAATCTGGGCAACATTTGCGTGGCCACTGTTTGTAAGGTCAGGTTGATGGGGAGGGAGGGAAGGGGCTCTGTTGTATTTACCTGAGACATCCCAGCCTTTCCTCAGACCTTTGCAAACAGACAAGACTGGGTAGGAGCTTCTTTGAGAGAGAAGAGAGGGCTGTAAAGAGGGGCTGTCAGAGAGAGGTAAGCAGCAGGTGTGTGGAGAGGGCTGGGGTGTTAGCTCGGTGGTCTGACAGGCTGATGAGACCAGCAGTTGTTCATGCATGCCTCAGTGGACAACATGAAGATGAACATGTTCAGCCTGCAAGCTAACTGTCCGGTGTGTGGTTGGCAACCAGCCCTCCCTTCCCCTGATTGGATATGCAATCTGCTCTCACAGGAGACTCGTGGCAATTCCTGGCGGGCCTAAGGAGAGGCCTCTGCAGTTCTGCCTTGAGGAGAGAAAGGAGCAGAGGAAGGGTTGTGAAGTGAGCTTTGTGTGGGGAGTAGTGTGTAAGCGTATGGGCAGCATCCCCCAGTGTGGGAGCTAACGATAGATGCCTCTCCTGCTGTATTTCCTTCTGAGGTGGTGGTGAGCTCTGCTCCTGCACTAGTGTAGGGAGTAAATGGTTCAGCTAGCTTTCCTCAGTGAGATGCTTTGCATGTCTTGAAGTGCAGCATTGCCTTGAGCTTTTTCTGCTCCCTCAATAAGTTGTCTGCTCTGGTAGAGCCCAAAGTAGAAGATTTTGCATAGGGTTTGGCAAGGGAGTGCTAGGAAAGTCCTTTGGGTCCAGAAAACTTTCCCTTCAGCTACTGCTCTGAAATGTGAAGATGTTAGGGCAGCCATGCCTATCACACTTGATAGGCACCAATTACCAGTGAGTGACAGGGTGGGACAAGTCCTGCTGCTGTTGGAACTGATGTCCTTCCCTTCAGTCCTCTAACAAACCCATCACCTGGCTGGTGTACAGGGGCTCTGAGCTGCCAGTAAAGTCTATTTCTGAGAGAGGATAGAGCTCCTGACAATTTAGGTCTCAGCTCTTTTTACAAGACCATTGGTGTTAGTCCCAGTCCTGCAGAAACAGCTGCTTTGGAGATTAGTTTTTGCTGACTAACATACCATGAGAAGTTGCTACACATCCTGGAGCATGCAGTATTGCTCCATACTACCTAGCGGCAATTGTGATCCAGCCATGGGGACTCCGGGGGGGATCCTTTGAGAGGAGAGGCTTTAGAACAAGCGAAGCTCTATACTCATGCCCTTTCGCTTCTGTTGCAGGTCCTCTTGGACGGATATCTTATGATAAGCATTGATGGAGCCACGTCTGCAGATGGCTCTGACTGGTTCTGCTACCATGCCTCTTCGCATGCCATCTTCCCCGTCAACTTCTGCCAGAAGAACAGCATTGACCTGACCCCTCCAAAAGGTGAAGTTTGGACCCTTCTGCCCTCAGGAGTAAACCTGCACACAGAAGCCACTGGGTTGTGCTTTTCTGAGAGGTGTCAGGTTCAGATGAGCCAGAACCACAATGTCCCAACCTGCCTGTTTTTTGGGGAGATAGAGCTGGTTCAGAAGGCCAATCCACTTGAGCTTGGCCTATATGCCAAATCTTGGTACTCAGTGGAAGGAAGTAACATCCCCAAAGGGCGTTAGTGACCTTTGGGCTAGCTCCTGGAGGATTGGCAGGACAGATGTGCGGTCCCCAAACTGAATAAAATCTGAGATTTAAGGATAAAGAGGATGGGAAGGGGTAAGCAGAGCCGTTGCTGCATGATTCATTTTTTTTACAAATGGCAGGAGTCACCTCTGATCTTCTTGTATAAATAAACGTGAGCTGACTTATTCCTGAAAATTCTGGAGTTAGTCACCTTAGGAGTCTTTTTACTATGTTATCTGGCTGGACCCAAAAAGGCCTGCTCTGAATTTCTGTGTGGCAGCATTTTCAGTCCAGTAATCTCCTGCTCTTCTGCCTTCCTTCTGATTTTTCTGCTGGTGGGAGAAAGAGTGATCTTAGTGGTGTGTGTGTGTGGTGGTGGGGTTTTTTGGGTTTTTTTTTTTTTTTTAAACATACTTCTTGCCTTCCTTCCCTTCCTCTGTGGCCTGAACATAGGATGGACATGGGCATTCAGTGTTTGCAGCTTGTGTTTTTCTCAGTTTCCCCACTGGATGGGAGTGCTGGACTTCCATGGAATCTGTGCAGTAGACTTATGTTCAACATCCAGCTGTATGTGCTGGTCAATGAAATGCTTTGCAAGCAGTTGCTGTTTCCTTCCTGCCCATCCTGTCTCTTCTTCCACTGGTCTGCCCAGTGACTGCATTTTTCCCTCTGACCATTTCTTCCTGCTGCAGGGCAAGATGCAAAGACCTTCAACTGGGACAGTTACCTGGAAAGGACTAAGTCAAGACCTGTTCCAGCACGGCTCTTCAACACGGTGAGTGGTACCTGAAAGAAAAGATATGCAGGGATGCCTGCAGTCAGCAAGGAGGAGCACAAGAGGTCTGAGTGTTTCTCCTGGGTTCCTCTGTGCCACCAGTCAGCACTTCTGAGGAGAGTCCAAGGCACAGAGGTGTGTACTGTCTTTGAAGTCCTCGTTTGGCTGTTTTGGATGAGCAAGATCATCCAGTCACGGGTGGAACAGTCTATCGGTTGCTCCGAGGGTGACTTGTCATTCTCTAGTGTTTCGAAGAGCCCTAGGCTACTGGTGGGTTCTGCACTACTTGTTGCCTGTGCAAATGCAGCTGGCACTTCGGTAGAGGATATCGGCTTTGCCTCAGCAAAACCGTGCTGCAGCACTCAGTCCCATGCCTCCTCTTCTGATTTCCTGGTAGTGTCTCACATTGTGTTTGACCAGATGTCCTTTAACGGCTGTATGCTGCTCCTCCTAGTTTAGGATCTCATTTCCTAAGTCTGCGCTGAGATTCACTAAGGACACAGCTGGCCTTGGATCTGTTTATAGGCCCACTTCTGCTATAAAACTGGATGGGGAAGTTGAAGTCCTTAGCATTGTCTGGATGCGGGCTTGTTCTTTCTCTGCTTGCTTTAGGCTGGAGGCAAGTCTGTAGCTATTCTAGGGCATTGGTATCTGGATGTGGGCTTGGACTGGATACGATTGCCTTGGGTTTTGTTTTTTTTCTCCTGTACCCAGGATTGCCCAAACCATGGCTTCAAGGCAGGCATGAAAGTGGAAGCAGTGGACTTGATGGAGCCCCGGCTCATTTGTGTGGCCACAGTGAAGCGTGTGGTCCACCGCCTCCTCAGCATCCATTTTGATGGCTGGGACAGCGAGTACGACCAGTGGGTGGACTGCGAGTCTCCGGACATTTATCCTGTGGGGTGGTGTGAGCTGACAGGTTACCAACTTCAACCGCCTGTTGCTGCAGGTGAGTGAAAGCTTGACTATGGTTTCCTACACCTCAATCCTGGAGGCAAAGGTTTTCTTCCTCCTGCTCTGTGAGTTGCTCCTGCTTTTTTGGACCTTGTGGAGAGGGGAAGCTCACCTCCTTTATCTGTGCTGGCTACTGCAATTTCTCCTCTGATGCCACGCAGCCTAGCAGCTGACAGAGAAGAAATTGTGGTGGGGAGAAGACAGCCTGAGGTTTGAGGTGGGCTTTGGTTTCCTTCTGTTTCCCTACCTGCACGCCAATGGAGAATTGTTCCAGCAGAAGTTGGGTAGGAGTTCCAGGTGGTCCTATCCCTGCACAGCCTCCCTTTTACTGAACATACCTACAATCTCAGCCAGCTAGCAGGGGCAGCTCTGCCTCCGCTCCCTTTTCTCTGCCCATCAATTCTCTGACTCAGTCTGTGAAGGTAAGACCATCCCTCTCAATAGCTTATTCCTTCCCTTGTCATGGAGGGGGCTACTGCCTCACCTTTGCAGATGGTTTTTTTTTCTTGTCCCAAACTACAAATCTTGTTTCTTTACTGCCCCTGCCAAATCTCTGTTGGGCCTCTCTCCCCTATGCTGCCCCAGCCTGCCACCCTGGGCCCTTGCCTGGAAGCAGAGCACAGCCACAGCACTAGGGCCCTGCCTTCCCCTCAGCTGGTTCTCCTGGGGAGAGGGCGTTGGCTCGGGGGGAACGGGTATATCTTGTTTCTCGCTTATGTCACTTCATCCCAGTTACCTACTGGTTATGGGACTTGGCTTTCGTTTCCCTCTCGTCTCCATGACAGAGCCCACAACTCCAGTGAAGGCCAAGGAGGTGCCCAAGAAGAAGAAGAAACCCTATGGAAAGAAGAGTGAGTGATGTTTGATTAGCGCCCTCCCGCTCGCTCGCAGGCTGGGCCCAGTTAGAGGAACCCTGTCCATGTCCTGTCAGAGCAGGAGAGAGAGGCCTTGTCTTGCTGTGGATGCCCTCAGCCAGCTGTGGGTTTGACAACACAGCTTCATCCTTCTTAGTTTCCCTGTAGTCTGTTTTCTGTCAGCTGAGGTGTAGATGGAGCTTGCTTCCAGGCATGAGGTGTGCTGCTTTTCCCTCCCCTCTCCCCCCCCCACCCCCCTACACTGTGTCCATGGTCAGAGGGAGATTCTTTGCCACAGCTGCTGAGTAGCTAGAGAACAGCCTTGGCTGCTTTGTGCTGAGGGAAAGAAGGTCTTAAGGCGGCTGAAGGTGCCATGGTGGGGCTGGATGATGTTATTGTTCCATTTGTTGCTGTTGTTGTTGTTGTTGTCATATTTGGGGTTAGCTGTAGCAAATCATGTGTAGGCAGGCAAGAAATTCCTTGTTAGGGGTTAGAGAGGAGAAGATAACTACAGATTTTCAAAATAAGTAAAGTCTGTTATCTAAAAATGAAAGTAATAATGCTACAGTATCTATGCCTTGGAGCCACCGTGCCCATTTCCTAGGGCTAGGCCAGACAGGTAAGCAAAGCTCTTAACAGATTCCAACAGGACCTGCTCCTTGGAAGTTAAGTTCATGCTGAAGTACCTTGCCTTTAACGAGGGAGAAGATGGAGTGTATTTTGAGATGATGAATATAGAGTTTTTTCTTCATTAGGCCACTTTCTTGAGTGACAAGTTGGCAGCTAATGACCATGCAGTTGGCTGGTCAGTCATGCTGGCCTCTGGTTTCTCAATGGAGCAGGGTTGCTGATTTTTCTAGGGAAAAGAAACACACTTTTCCCCACGTTCTGTTATCTCTTTGTTAAGGAAAAAAGTTACCTGCCAAAACCCGCACCGTCAAGCAGACTGCCAAGAAGCTTCCTGGACCGAAGACAAAACGAGAAGCGAAAGCTGCCAGCAAGGCTTTGCCGGAGCCAGCCCCCGATGAGAGTAAGGGAGTGAGCAACTCTACCTTGCAAGCACGTGCAGCTCTCCTGCATGTGCCTGCACGTCGCCAGCCATCTTGAGGCCTGTGCTGCCTCTTAGCAGCTAAGTCATGGGTGCCCCCAGGCAGGGAAAGGCAGCACGCTGCTAGCTATGCCATGTCGCACTCCTCCAGGGGCAGGGACTCTTTGCTGCCTTGGCTGAGGAGAGAGTGGATGAAAGCCTTCACCCGCTCTCCCTGGGGAAGTTTGCCTCCTAGGAGGTCCAATGGCACCAGTATAGCTGGATGCCTTGGCACTGCTGATGCCTGCTGAGAGTCCAGCTGCCCTACTGAGCAGTCTGTGCCTGTGCGAGGTCAATTAGGGAGGAGGGGCAACATGAAGGTGTCAGAAGATGTGTGTCACGTCCCGGTTCCTATAGAGGCTGTCACTGCATGTGAGCACAGCCTGTCACGCTGAGCACTGAGGGATGCAGTGACCAGGAAAGCGTTTGGCAGCTGGGTCACTTGTCGAACCTGGCAGGTAGTGGGGAGGAGTGAGGTGCTTTGCATGCGTGTGGACAGAGCCTCATGAGGGTCCGAGTTGCTCATAGAGGTTTAATTTCCCCTGTGTGGACCCAGGCAAGTACAGTATGGAACACATCGGCATTTCCTCCCTCAGCCCTAGGAGAGGTTACTTTTGGGAGCAGACAGCTGAATGCTTCCAGGGTTCGGTCCCATCCTGATCGCTGCTAGGACCACCAATTGGTTTGTTCCAACAGGACAGGGCTGCCTTCTGTAAGGGGTCTGCAAGAAATGGGCTTGGAAACCTGAGGCATTTGAGGATCTGTATGAACAGAGTTGGTCCTGGGGTGCTGCAGATAAAGCATGGTGGCATGAATTGTTTTCTCTCTTTCTATCTTTTGTTAGTCATTGCCGTGCAGGTGAAAGAGGAAACCATCGACCCCTCCATGGCAGAGTTTGGAACCTCAGAGCTTCCCATTCCCATCAGCAGCATAAAGCAGGAGGTCACAGACTGAATCTGAAGCGTCCCCCAGCTGTCCTCAGCAGCCTGTGCTTCACCTTGTGGCTCTTTGGGGAAGGCCCTAACAAAGCAGAGCAGGAGACCAAAAGGGCCCTCCTTTGTCAAGGCAGGCCACCCTGCAACATCACAGCTCTGCTTTCTTGGTGTGCAAGAGGATTTCCCCTAAGCCTTGTGATTTTAAGCCCTGGGAAATGGACTCCAGAAAGGCAGCAGGCTTGCTGACAAACATGGCCAGAGTGACTGTGGAGGTTGTGTGTGCCTGGCTCCGAAGGTGTGTTTCTGAGCAGGAGACCCCAGTGGGGCTGTCACAGCACGAAGGGGCAGTTTGGGATGTCAGCTGTGGCTGGAGGTGGTGAGCCGCAATCTGAAGCTATGTGCAAGTCCCGTGAGTCAGGAAATCAGCTGCTCTCATCAAAGGACATCTGTGCTGTGCCCCCCACTGTAGGCCACGCAACCCCTGAGAGAGCTGGGATCGGAAGAGAAAAGGAGATGAAAAACAAAGAAAAAGGAAAGATGATGCCTCTTGGGGGAGTGAGAGACTTTTTCAATTAATGTCACTTCTTGCTATTGACCCCAGAACTGCAGAGTACATGATGCACAGTTTGAATTTTTTATTTTTTAGTAGGCCCTCTGTAAACTTGACCAATGACCTGTACCCTAAAGCCCTGTGGATTAAACTGAGAAAGAGGCCAAAGGCTTGTATGTTGCTTTCTGGGTCAGCAAAATACCAGGATTAGCCAAGATGGGGAGAAGAGGGCTGACAGTGAGGACACTACAGAGTGCTGTTGAGCTCAGGCACAGGATGGCAAGACAGGGCACAAGTCTCGGGTCAGAGTGTGTCCAGGTGAGCAAAGAACATCATGTTTCCTGAATCTCCCTAAAACCTGTCTCTAATCCTGACTCAGCTGCTTCTGGTTACCAGCCTCTCCCCCCACACTTGTTTCCTCCTGCCACACAGGTGAGAAAGTGCTGTGCCTGCCTGGCCCACAGCTGGGCACTGGCTGGCTGTTGTGGAAGTGCCTTGTGGAAGCCCCCCAGGAAAACAGCATCTCTGAGCAGGGAGTTTGCCACAAAGTGTCTGCCCTTGGTGATGCTCCCTCCACAAACTTCTGGGCAAGAATCACAGCTGGCCCGGGAAGCTCAGGTCCTGGCCCTTGCTGGCAATTGCTAAGCTTGCTGCTTCCTGCAGGAAACCAGTTTAAACTGGTTTGGTCCCAGAGTGGGGGAGACTGGAGGTAGAAGCATGACTCTACTATGGCAACCACACAACCAGCTCAGCTGCCCCCACTACTGAGACCAACCACCAGTCCCTGCATGTTTTCTAAAGGGAGATGGAAGAGAAGGGGGGGAAAAGAAAGAAAAAAGCCAAGTCACTCAGAAAGGAAATAATGGATATTTATTGGAAAGGAGTGCACAGACAAACAAATTGGGCGGGTGGCTTCTCCAAGGGGAGGTCATGGTAAATTCCTGAAGCTAACAACAAAAAATACTGGTGCCTGAAGGACGTGTATTTCTGCTTGAAACTTCTAGAAATTAGTGCAGGGTAGGAAAAGAAAGAGGGAAAGAAAAATATTTGATATAGATTTTGGATATATTTTTATATGTACTCTGACATTCTACTATATTGTATGCATTCATATACAATTCACTTACACAGTTTACTTTTTACTCAGCTTCGTTATTCTTTTCCCCCTGGCCCTTGCAGCAGGAGAGCAGGGTTGTGTCACTGGGGTGAGCTACTCTTGCCCTGTACGGCTGGTGCCCTCCCTGACCTCTCAGCAGCCAGGGGCTTTGAGGGGCTAGGGTCACAACTGCTATCCATGGCCCTCGGCAACTGCAGCTCTGCATCCCAGAGCTCAGGTGGGTCTGCGCATACTGCGTGGGGTCATACCGCGTGACCCCTGCCCTCTGCACCTGTGCCTGGAAGGAGCACATGGAGCAGGTACAGCCCAGGGAATTCCCTGCCAGCCTCATTTCCTCCAGCTGGGTGGCCCAAGTGAGCAGCTTTGTCTCGACAAGGTAATTCCTGCTCAGGCTGAGCACCTGAAGGTTGGACAGGCCCTGTAGGGACGGCTTGTGGAGGAAGACCATGTTATTGAAAGCGAAGTTGGGGTGGGTCAGTTGCTGCAGGCCCTGGAAAGCACCTGCCTCGATACTCTCCACCTTGCATCGCTTCAGGTTTAAGTGAGAGAGAAGCAGGAGAGAAGAGAAAGCTCCTGCAGGGATGACTTTGAAGTTGCTTCCATAGAGCTCCAGTGTTTTTGTGGCCAGTTACAGATATGAGCACTGAGTCATGGCAGGAATGGGCCTAGCCACCATCCCTTCCCCTCCATGTGGCTCAGTCTGCACCCCCTGGTTCTGCCAGTTGTGCCCGGGAGGTGCTGGGGCTCCACCTGGGCACGTTGCTGCCCAGGCCAAGCCTCTGGCAGGAAGCCTTGAGGGAGGCAGTCCTGACCCCCTGCCAGCATGGCCGCCAAGCAGGCGAAGGCTGCCCAAGTGGGACGCAAAGTCAGGGTGTGGAGCTGGACCTCAAGCTGGGCTCCAGCTGGCAGTTGAGTTTTCTCCAGCCTGCCTCGGCTCGGAGCACCCCAGGCCTCCTCCAGCCCATTTCCCCATAGGACCAATATGTTTTGCAAGGTGTGCTAAATACTCAGCTGCTGGGGACTGGGCCACCTGTGGTGGGAGGGCAATGGCAGCATTTTAACAACCACGCAAGGATGCCGTGCACACCCGGAGGTGTGTTGTACTGAGGAGCAGCAACGTGGGCGGGCCAGGGAGGCTTGAGGGATGTTTTTAAACAGTCGCCTGTGGGTGCTGCAGCCAGGTCCCGGCTGGCTGCAGTGCAAGTGCCTCCTCAAAGTCTACGAGAAAATGGTGGCTGCCCTTGGCTATGCATTTGTCAACGGAAAAGCTACCTGAGACCACACGCTCTGCTCAGGATTATAGGTGAGCGCCTGTGGTGTAAAAATAGCCTGAACAATGACGAAACGGTAGTTGAAGAACGGGGACAATGTTGTCAAGCCAGCTCTGGGGGAGCCACCAGCCAAGGACTCATTCCTGCGCTGCCCTGGGCCCAGGAGGTGCCCAAAAGGGGCCTGGCAGGGGCTTGGGACATGAGGATGGTGCTGGCAGACAGCCGAGGAGCCATCAGTGCAGGGAAGTGGCTTCTCCAGCAGAAGTCATGATAAATTCCTGAAGCTGAAAAATAAATAGCAGGACCAGTGCCCAAAAGGCATACCTTTTTTTGTCTGAAACTTCTAGAAGTTTGTGTAGAGAAGTGAAAAAGGGGAAAGAAAAATACTTCAATATAGAATTTTGTATATATTCTTTTATATGCACTTTTATGTTCTGTTACATTAGTAAAAAGTAAACTGTATAAATGACTTTTATATAAACGTATACAAACTCTCTTATTCCCTTTCCCCCAGGAGATGGAGAGCAGGGGCTCCTTCCCCTGTACCACTGACATGTCACCAGGGTGAGCTACTCTTGGGCTGGCTGGTGCCTTCCTGCGCCAGACCAGTGAGGCATCCGGGACAGCAAAATACTGGGGGTGGCCAAGATTGGTAGAAGGGCGTTACGGAGCGTATGGGGAGTTTGCGTGCGGTATTTTTGTCTGGTTTTGCCTGAGGCATGTAGTAAGGCTTGCTACAAGCCTGCAGTAGATGCCTTCGTGTCGGAGGATCATGCTTCCCGTTGTAGCGTTTTTCTCTTTCCTTCCCTCTGGGATTTCACCTTTCCCCACACTTGTGATATGGCCAGCGGTCTTCATGGCATGTTTCCTTCCAAAGGACTTCAGCCTTTCTCCTGCGGTTCTTTACTACACCAGTTCCACACCCCTTTGTGGTCATGTAATGGATACAAGTGTTTACCTTCAAAGCCTTCTGGATTTAAACAAAATGCTGATTTTTGACTTAAAAAAAGGAATCCTCTTGTAATCCCCCTGAGAAAGGGGAAATGCAAACCTGGCAGCCCTGGGATGCTATAGAGAATAGGTTGGGCACATCACTTAGGAATGGGATGTGGGAACAACTAATTGAATCTTGCAAAAAAAAAAAAAAAAAGTTTTATATCTGCTTTTGTTTTAACTCTTAGGAGCTTCTGGGAATTCAGGAAATGTTTTCTCTGGTGATTATTTTTAAGTTTTGAGCCAGTGCAGGTTATTATGTCAGTGCTTTTGGCAGTCCTCCTCAGGGCTCTTCAAGGGTTTCTGAAGCTGCTAAAGCACAAACATCAATATTCCTAAAAATGATTTAAAGAAAAACCTATTGTGTAGGACCAATTACACCTGTCCTAAAAAGGTGGAGGGGAAAAAACAGGTATTACACCTGTCCTGTGTGGATGGAGAAGCCTTGTTTTTAAAAAAAAAAAAAAAAAAAAAAAAATATACCTTGTTTTGTCTGACTCAGTTGGAGTCATTAGATGAAGCATGTTACAAACACTACCAAAGCTTCTGACCTACTTCTTTCCAGGTTATTGTGCCTCTGTCTTGTCCTGCATGAACAAAACCTAGGTCCCAGATCCTTGACCAGGACAAATCAGCATCAGTCCAGTTATGCCAGGCTCCCTCCTTCTCACCCTGTACAATAAGTGGGTGGCTGCAGCAGGGACAAGTCCAGGAAAATTGCTCTCACTAAACCGCTTCCTAGTAGGTACGGCACCGTTGCGTCCTGCACTCTTTTCCTAAGCTTTGTTCTTCTTGGGGCCTCTGGCTGGTGAGTTTCCCCATCTCTTTTGCTTGCTGGACTTGCTCGCAGCCTTGGCCTTGTCAGGACTGGCTCCTCTGGCCTTGCCCCGGCCCCAGCCAGGGCAGGTTTGGAAGATGGTGGAAAACTTCACCTTCTGGCCCCGAGCTTCAGCAGGGGACCCACAGGTGGCTCCCACGCGGAGGTTGAGTTTGTCAATCCACCTGGAAAGGTGGCAGCAGATCAGAGAAAGGAACGGGAAGGGACAAAGGCAGAGGTGAAACTCTGTGCCTGTGACCTGGTGCAGGCTGGTGGGGGTCGGATCCAGCTGCGCTATGGCCTCTTGCCTGTGTTGAGGGGTGTCAGTGCTGGACCTTCAGCCCTGGGGCTGACAAAGGAATGGGCCGTGGGGCATGGGGAGGTCTGCCCTGGGCACAGACCACCAGAAGGCTCTTGTGGCTGGGCATGGCCCAGAGCGAACACAAGGGCACAGAGCCATCATCCTTCCTGAGCTGACACCTCCCTTTTAAAACCACAGAGAGGTTTTGGTCAGCCAGGGCCAACGGGGGTCTCTGGACCAACCCCTGCTCAGAGCAGGGCTCGCTTCAAAGCCAGATGAGGTTGCTCAGGGCTTTGGCTGGATGAGGTGTGAGTATCTCCAAGCATGGAGATCCTACAGCTGGACTGCTGAGCCAGTAGTGTCTGACCACTCTCTCAGGGAAGGGTTTTTCCCTTATTTCTTATTTCCTTATCCTTCCCCATTTCCCATGGTCCCCATGGGCCCTGCCGCCTCGCAGAGCTCACCTGCGCAGGGGAAGAAGCTGGCAGTCACAGTGGAAAGGGACGTCTCGCAGATTGAGGATTTCCAGGCCCGTGAAGCTGCGCATGTCGGGGATATCGCTCATTTTGTTGTTCTCCAAGTAGAGACTTTTGATCTTGGGCCCGAGGCCAGCAAAAGCACCCAAGGAAATCTGCAATGAAGCAAGGGTGAGTCAAAGGGAGTCCCTGTGGGAGCAGGTGAGCAAACCTGTGCACACGCACTGCTAATGCCTACAGCCTGGTTGGGGGGAGAGGGGGTGTGTG